ACCTCAGCTTCAAATCTATTACAAAATAGTAGATTACTTTGAAAATAAATATAAGATAAAACATATCAACAACCACACATGTTAGTAGGAATCTCAGAAAAATCATAAAAATAATCTTTAATATTCATGAAATATAAATAAATATCAATAATTTATTAAGAAATTATAATATGTCGATTCATCGTAAAACTTATGCAATAGAAAAACGATGATAATTTCTTACATAATAAACAAAATCATGCATCAGCTACATACAACACATACATAATAACTAAAAAACAAAGATATACATTACACCCAATAGTGCACTCTCCAAACAGTGGATGGAGAGACATATTCCACGGGATGAATTCCTCTCAACAGCGGATGAAGATAATCCATCTCGCATTCCCAACAACGGATGGAGTAGTATCCCTCACCCGCCCAAGTGGGGACATGTTCCTCCCAACAACGGATGGAGGAACCATCTAACCATCACGTCTGATGGTCCGCTAATCCCCGAAGGGAATCGCCATACCTGCCCTCGGCAGGGATATATAAATATCCATAATCATTCATTTACACTCATCCATTCAACACATGCATTAAGAAATCAATATGATTAAACATTATGAGATATCATATAAATTTAATAGACTATGTTCATTGGTGGCTCCGCACTATGATGGGCCCGTAGCTCCTTCCACAGGTTGTACTCTCAATGTAAACTACTAGTCTAATCACATCTACTACATGATACTAATCATATCAATATCATAAACATAAGAAAATAGAAAACCAATAATTATTTTCAAATGACATTTTCAGATAAAACCTTTAAATTCATCAAATCGAAACATCAATCTCTCAATAGTCCTCAATCAACCAAAACCCTAATTAGAATAGCTCAATTGACTTAAATCAAATTCAATTCGATGATGATCAAACGGAACCAACCTCAAATTCTTATAGAACCGGTCTGGAATCACCCTAGACCGGTCTAATCTAGATTTGATTGATCTCGATTAGGTCAAGTAGATTTGAACTAGTCAAGTTAGTTTGGAACCAACCTAAATTGACTTTAGCTGATCAAACCTATCTGATTTAGCCAATTAACGAGCTCAAACTAATAAAGGGAGAGGAAATTAGACTATGTCGTATAGTGCTAGCCCAAATCGAACCAACCCACCTAAGTCTTAGATGGGTCACATACGCTACATATGCCTGTTCCAAGTAATAGGTTGATTTGAGGTACAACGAGCTAGATAGAGGAGCAATGATGTGTCTAATGCCAATCGCATAATTGGGCATGCTTAACTTCATGGACTAAGCGAAGCCTTATTCATAAGTTGAGCTGAACCTTACCACTGAACTAGGCCATGTTTGGCTCGTGAGTTGGTCGTACCTAGATACATGAGTTGGGGTCGTATCTGACCACATGGACTGGATCGTACCTAGTCGTATGAGCTGGGACAAATATAACCACATAGACCGGATCATACCTGGCCACATGGGTTGGGTCATGCTTGGCCATATGGAGTAAATCGTACATTATTACATGGGCTAGCTCCTACTTGGCCACATGAGCTAGGTCATGCCTAGACGCATAAGCTAGGCTATACTTGGCCACATGGGATAGGTTATATATGACCACATGGGCTGAGTCGATCTGGTCTAATAGATCAACCTGACTCAAGTCAGATCCCAATTAAACTCCTCTTAAAATATTTAAAGAATGACTCAAATCCATTAATTAAATTCATGACCTTAAATTTAAAACTAATTACATTATAGAAATTCACACATACTTCTTAAAAATATAGATATATCTAATTAAATAAATTAAAACTATTATGCTAATCCAAAAATAAGAATTTTAATAATTAAATCAATATTAAAATTTACTTAAGCTTCAGAGATCAATATAAATCAAATAATCATTCTAACATCACAAAATAATTATCATTATTTACTAATCATGAAATTTCAAAATTAAAACATCATATCATAAAATTATAACAATCTCAACATCAAGATTTCAAAATATAAATCAAAGCTAGTTAGAAAAGAAATGATCCTACCTCTTCTCGACTATCCTTTCCTCGATATCATCTCCTCGGGAAGTCCTCTTCTCAATCCTCCCATTATTAAACTCGGTGAGAAAGGAGGGAGGAGTAGTCCCCATTATATAAGAGAAGATGAGATCTCCCCAAAAAATAAGTAATAATTTAATTCTTATTTTTAATTTATTTTTATTTTCTTTTTACACACAAAGAGAGAAATATAATATTTATTTCTTATAGTTCACACATGAAAATAGAATGTAAACTATTTACTTCCTAAAAATCAAATTACTCATTAGGAAATAAATAAATTAATAATTTAATTGATTAGTAGAATTTCTAACTTATTCACATGAGTAAGGAAATCAAATTTAATCATTTCTTTAACTATAGTACACAAATATAAAAGTTAATAATAAAGTAATACATCATTTATAGTAATTAATTTATGTTAAGGAAGAAATGATCGATGATTACATTATCGGATAATATCTAATTTATTATCAGATAATATCATTTATAATAATTAATTTATTTTTAATTTATTTTTAATTTTCTTTCACACACAAAGAAAGAAATATAATATTAATTTCTTATAGTTCACGCGGAATGTAAACTATTTACTTCCTAAAAATCAAATCACTCATTAGGAAATAAATCAATTAATAATTTAATTGATTAGTAGAATTCCTAACTTATTCACATGATTAAGGAAATTAAATTTAATCATTTTCTTACCTTAACTATAGGACACAAACATAGAAGTTAATAATAAAGCAATACATCATTTATAGTAATTAATTTATGTTAAGGAAGAAATTATAGGTGATTACATTATCGGATAATATCTATTTGTAAGTGAAAAAAATATGCTAAAAACAGGATATTGTTTTATGTAAATTATTTCCTGCATAAAACCTGCAGTTTGTACCATTATTTTATAAATTTAATCATCGAGGAATTGGTTAATAAGAGTATCGGCTAAGTCAGCAAAGAACAAGTATATTTCTGGTTCCCCTGAATTTCTAGTGATCAATAAAAATTGATGCATATAAGACTTTGTCACTATCAAATGCCTGTAGTATAAATGAATTATCATTGTGAGTAATCCTAGAGTACTGGCTTTTGCTTGCATGGTATCATAATCTCCTCAAACAAACTAATAGATCTTCCTGAATCTATGTTTTATTGTAAAAAATCTCATTCAAAGGTATGTTGTATGTATCAGTTATAAGCACTTCCAGCAAAACATGCCATATCATTTTCCTTCTTCCACCAATTTTGTTATGGTCTGTAATATATCCAACCAGGATAAGATTATTGTTTGGCATACAACTTAATATGCCACCAATTACATCCATGCAAGCTGAGAGGTAAGGAAAATGAGCAAATCAACAGATGTGAGTCGAGAGAGACAGCTGCCTCTCATACTTCTCAGACAGTAGCATCGCATATATTATTTTAAAACTTTGGTTTCCTTTAGTTGAATATTACAATTTGTTTCATCTTCCCTTCTTTACGCACATAAGAAAATTATGAATGATAAATGTATTGGATACCATTCTTACAGTTCCAGATTGTTGATAGGTCTAGTGGCAATTCAGATTAACTAAAGTTGACAGGATGCAGATGGACTCATTTGACTATGGTATTGTTGTCAACATACTGAAAAATTAATATTATCTAAACTCCGATGATCTGAACACCATGCAAGCCTTACAAAATGTTGATGCTTGTGTAATCAATTTTCCATTGTGAACAAACAAAACAGGTATTTATTATAAGTTGCATGTCCTTCCTCCTGAAAGATTACAGTTGATAAAAGGAGCAACTTTAATCTTCTGTAATAGGTCTATAATCATCTTTCTAAGTCTGACTCAAAATTGTTTTTCCCACGTATCTTGAACTACCTTATGGAGAATGATGCCAAGTTCGGCCTCAATAATAAATCTAGTAGAAAAATCAAGACAAGCTATTTTGAGAAGATATTTGCACTTCTTTAACTGACTCAGAACGTATTAGACAATTGTTCTTTCAAATTATGCTAGTTTTCTTCATGTAAGACATGTAAGACAAATTGAAGCGATTAACATCTTCCAGATCAAATTAGGTTTACGCATGCTTAAAAATGAAATTTTGGTTCTTGAAAACAATTCCACAAGGTAAATGACAATCGCTACGTACACTTCGAGATTCCAGATTTATCCGATAGTAGAACAGCTAGAGCTCGATTAAGGCATTACGGAACTGAACATTGCATCAACAAAGAAACTAGAAAATCGTAGAGAGAAACGAGAAGGCCGAGGAAAAGTGAGCACATTGCGGGAGAGGAGGTCGAGGACGGGGAGGGTCGTCGATGGATCCGATCTCGTCCATGCTGCAGTCGTTCCTGGGGCGGTCTCCGATGGTCTTGTCGGGCTCGACGGCAGCGGCGGCGTGAGCGGAGAGATCGGATCAGGAGCATGCTGCCGCCCTCGCTCTTCCCGCTTCTCTTCCACGCGCCTCCGCAAATCACATATGCCTCTTTGGTTGCGTAAAGAGGGGCAAAGATATGCATCTCTAATCTCAGCCGTCCATCATACTCATCAACTTGGGAACGTTCTTACACATAAAGCAACTAAGTGGCCTCTCGCTCTATTAATTAATTACGGCCCAGACTGCTTCACTGAAGCCTAACCCTCTCTCGTACTGCACTTTCTCGGCACATTAATTACGGCTCAAATTGCTCTTTAGTGAAAAGCTTTACTCTCTTTCGTGCTGCACTTTACACGTTTTCAAAGCTATATATATCTCTCATCTCAGCCGTCCATCATGTTCGTTGACTTGATGATGAGTCGGTCCATTAATTGAAATTGGCCCATAAATGAACCAAGTAGAGTCGGCCCATTAATAGAAATTTGCCCATAATTACGGCCCAAATCGATCGAAGCCCTACCCTCTCTCGCGCTGCACTCGCACACACCACTCTCTATATACCCAGTGTAACGAGAGGGGAGCCGCGCGGGCAAAGCAAATGGCGACGGCCCCCCCGCCTCCTTCTCCCCCTCCTCTCCTCCTCCGCCCCGCCGACACCGATCCGATCCCGCCCATCACCGGCGCGGCGGAGGATGCGGTGCTGCTTGCGGCGGAGCTCCTCTCCCGGGAGGAGGTGCTTCGCCGCCGTTCCCGCCGGGTGAAGCAGCTCGCCAGGCACTACAGGGAGCACTATTGGGCGCTCGTGGAGGAGGTCCGGTCCAAGCTCCGCGAGTACTACTGGAGCATCGGCGTGAGCCCCCTCGAGGTGGACGGACTCGACACAGCGGCGGCGGCCGCGCTGGCCGAGGTGAGCGGGGAGAATGATGACGGGGTTGCAAAGAAGGGTTTTTGCCGCATTTCCGAGTGTATGTCGATGGCGATGCCCCTGACGAGTTACTGCCATGGTCACATACTCTGCGATGACCGGCAGACGCTTTACAAGCCTTGTACCTACGAGACCTTCAGGTATGGATTCCCCTTCATTTCCGTTACTGCTGCTTCTTGTTGGTGTTGTGCTTGTGCAATCATCAGATGTTTTCGTTATTGTAGAATTATCAGACGCTTTAAAATATGATCTTTTGAAGTGATTCGGAGCCATGAAAGGTTGCAATATGGAGTTTTCCTCAACAAAGGAAGTGAATTTAGCTTGTGGCCTGTGGTTAATGACGCCCACCTGAACAAGCTTAACACTTTTGTTTGGTTTATACGCTGCAAACTGGTTATTATCAATAGCAGATATTCGGAGCTATTAACTCAGGCCTCCTTGTTGTACTGATTGTTGCCATCCGTTGGGCATGCGTCGCCATGCCACTTTTTTTTAATTATATTTTCTGAAAATGTTATCTAAGAAAGCAATTTTAATTGAAATAATCTTCTTTTAGTGGATTGTTGGCTAGGGCTTCAACTTGTAATTTCTTAGACAAGGAGCCAGGCGCTGGTCCCTTGAACAAGAAACATAGGAGGATCGAATACTGGATGTTACTCTTAGATCCATGCTACTGGTTGTTGGTTCAATTCTCTACTCCTTTTGCATATCGGATGCGATTGAACTATATGTTACTCTTACTGCTGTTGATTGGGGACTTATTGTCATGTTAAACTCCTATGAATTATATTTCTACTTTGTATATCAGCAGTGGACAAACTTGCGGGAAGCCAGTTCTCCAAGCTGCAGTGCCTCCTTTCTGCACACTGCACATTCAAAAGGATCAGAACCATCTCTCACAAGTTTTCAGTAGGGAAGGCTTTAGAGTATATTCTTCTGGCAAGCCTGCTCCAGGTTTTCATGTCATAATTGCTGAATACATCCACCAGATCCAAATCAATAGAAGGAAAGCACCAAATGCTGCCAGTACAAAGAATGCAGACAAGGATGAGAACGCTGGTTAATGTTGGTTGTGTTCGATGCTGTTTTGAAGAGTAAAGACTTCTTATTTTTGTGTACAGAACTTGCTATTGTAGATGTTATATAGCAGGGGAGAGGGGCCCATCTGAAAGAAGAAAAACGTTCTCATACAAGGTACGCTTTTGGTGTTCTTGAATTATGCCTTCTACATATTATGCATATCATTTATTACTTACGGACGTTGCTGATTCTAGTTACACCAGACCAGGGATTGCTGGCCAATGTATGATGCATGCTGTGTTCGCTTTGTTCAGGGTCATGCCATCAACAAGCCAGGCATTATCTCTAGGCTTATTAGACACACATGCATGCATGCACCATGCCAAGCATACATAAATTTAATGCTTTAAATTTGAAAAGTTTACTCCAATATTGCTTCAACTTTGAAATTCAAAAGTTCTCAGTTCGTCATAAATGGTCTTATATATCATAGATTCACAAAAAAATTGGACTTAAAGAAATGTTTGTCTGGTTTGTTTGTGCCATATGATCCTCATAAATGGAGTTGGTTGGGTTGGAGGTGGAGTAGAAAGCAGTTGTGATTGGCGAGATCATTGATCCTGCGTTCTCAAAGATTTGAATGATGAATAATCCTGCGAAACAGCTAAAGTAATAGGAATTAGACGTAAGACGATTCCAAATAGAAAAATTTGAATCATTTTGGTTTGTTTAAGGGGATAAAAGAAAGGTAAGATCTATCCCTAAATATTAATCTGAATTATCCGTGAATCTCAATGACCAAGAGTTGCCGATTAATGTGAGAAAGAACCACAGAATACCTGGAATCTCGTAGAAATATTTGTTTTTTTATATTAAATTTCCATTCATTTCATTTCAAATAAGTCATATCTTGTTCAAACCTGAATAGAGTTGGGATTGTAGTTAAAGCAGCCAGTAGAAAACCAAAATCAATATTCATATTAAGCATGAAACAGTGAAATTAGAAAATTGCATTCTAATTATACATTATGGTGTTTGTGAGGCAAGGGTGTTCAAATTAACTAAGATAGAATAGCTTATTTCCATCGATATCAAAGGATGCCATTGCCAGGCATAGTAACTCTTAATTAGCTTAAAAAGAAGTACCTCCTTTTCTGTAACTATAATTAGAAAAGTTGCCATCAAAAGGATGCCCCAACTCTTAATAAGAATAGTTTATTTCTAGCAATTGTTGCTCCGACTCTTTTGGAGACCATGGCAATAGCCATTTTTATTTAAGTGAACTTGCTAAAAGAATGTTAAAATGGATCGGGCATTGTCTTAAACTGTGCAGACATACTGGTTTGAGAATATGTTATTTTAAAAGTCTTCTGATTGTCCACCATCTGTTGCTATTTGTCAATATGTTAAGCTCAGATATAACAACACAATTCCCCCAAGGCCGGCTACTCATTATTATGTGAATTGATACAAAGTACCAACACATCAGCAGTGACCTCATTCTTTTAAATATTTTCAATAAAACTGCAATGTTATCTACAGAAATTTTGGTGAAATCCACAAGTGGCAACTTTTATTGAGTGTAAAGGCATCCATGAGTACTCTGTAGATGATGCAAATAAAATTGCTGTGTTTATCTTTTATTGCAGAATCTTGTTAACTGCACTTGCACTGTAGTCTTTTCTTTTTCTCAATTTGGTCACTGTGAAACAAGATTGTTCTGACCAAACACCTCCATTATCTATTAAGACTCTCCTCTGAGTTTGTTGCAGGAGAGGCAGATAGTGAAGAACCTACCTGGCAATAGACAACAAATCCATGAGACATCTGCTCGAATCCAATATCAATATTCACTAATTTCTCCAAAATGAACCTAACCCAAGATTTTGCTTTGCATTTGGCAGGTTTGTGGATGTTCTTCTTTGGTGCGAAACACAAAGTGCTACTAGTTACATATTGGAATTTAAAATTGAATACTTGGGAGAAATGGAGATCTCAGCTGAGGAGATGAAACTGGGACTAAAAGAGTATCAGTCATTTTGTAACTGAACAATGTATAGTACTTGGATGCAAATCTGAAACTATACTACCGTGATTGATTCCTTCCTTTTTAAGCAAAGCGGCAAACAGCTGCAGTTGCTTTTGATGTTTGCTTGTGTCTTTTAACTCAATTGGCACTTGTGAAACCATCTGTTGTAGATTTCTTTGATGACTTGCTGTTTTGAAGCTCATCTTAGAGGAGAAATTCTTGTGTAATCTCATGCTGTATTAGTAGACCTTTTTTTTCGAAAAAAGAAACAGAAAGCCAGTTATCTATGGAACTTAAGAAAAGAGTTTGTATGTAGATGGCAGATGTCTGAATAAAAATTCTTTTGCATCCCTAGTAAACCAATTAATAATCCTTTCCTAATAGCAACTGCTTCATAGTAATATTGTATCCCTTCTGGACAGATTCCTGCATTCATAAAAATAAACAAACAAGAAGCATCAGAATTGCAATATGATAAACCCACTTCTTCCATTTGTCTCCCTCTAATCTAATCTAATCTAATCTAATCTAATCTAGGAGGCATCATAGTTTTAACTTACACCAACCCTCCAATGAGAGATTCCAAGTAATCATGTACTCTGAATTATTTAGCATTTTTTGATTTTATCCAAACAACATCACGATATAAAACCACCACTCTAATGGCTGTCGATGTACGTGAAAAAAGATCTGAATAGCATCATTAATTTAGATTTAAAAAAGTATTTTCAGTCAAGGATTCAAGTTCAATAAATTAATGGGGCTCAATTATATAACCTAATGGTCCAGAATAAACATTGAAGTTATACTGACCTGAGGGTAATGTATTGCATGTTCGTTCAAATTTGGGAGGGAAGGAGTGAAGAAGATCCTGCAAAGCTTGAGAAGCTAATGCCATAGTCAATTGCAGTACTGTTTACAAGGTCGTCCTCTTGTCAGCTCCTCCAATATAGTAGTGTGCTCGGCTTCTAGTGACTTACAATTATGCAGGCTTAATGTTCCACCTTGCAAGCAGTCTCTTGGGTGACCTTGAACCAGTTTGCAACAAGCAATTCCAACACTGACATGGTCCAAGGAGGAGTTCAAATCAGTTCTAACCTGGTCCACATGAGATCTTCCAAAAACATCTATACACACAAGTAATCACAGCTGATGTTGGTAAATGTTATACTACTATCACTTTTACCAGTACAAAGCTTTTAAACAGAGGATCAGCGTCATACACAACTGCAGAAAAACCTTGGGAATCACCCTACTCAAATAGTACACTGAAGCCTTCTCCCCTTTCCGAATCTCGACACACAAAGATTATTCTCATGGATCATGGATTAACTTCCGCAAAATGACAATGACCAGTGGCCTCCGGTAAAAATATCGACATGGTGCCATTGCTAATGGAAAAGCTTTCCAAAAGTTGAAAATTCTGCTGCAAACCAGCACACCCAACATGGTCCTTAATTGCGTCCTATGTGCATGTCTTGGCTGAACATGAGCAGACATTATGCTATGAACAGACTAGAAATAAGAAATTAACTTATTCAAAGTGAAACTTGAGACATTTCCCCTTTACAACTCCCTGATGCCATCGGTCGCAGTTCTTAGGTTTTTCCTGTGATAACGTGGGAAAAGCATTCTCTTGATCTTCTTTTCAGCTGCACTCTCAGACATGGCCTGAAACAAATGGCAAATTACTGAATGACTGAGCAGAAAAGGTAATTGGGAGTAGAACTAACCAAGAGTACTTGTAAAAGAAATAGAAGAAGTTCCTTGCATTACAATGCTTACTCTAGCACTGAATGGAAAACGAAGAGTTCGGGCTTCCATCCCACAATATACTCGTACATCTATGCCAAGACTATCTATGCCAATGAGATTTGCTCCCTGTATGAATTGGAGAGAGTTCACAAAACAGTCGATCTTCAAAGGAATGGGCGAGAAGAAAAATTGTAATAATAAGAAAACTTGCTTCATCAGGTTATTAAAATATATAAATTGTAATCTTGTTTTGAGAAATGGCAAAGCGATGAGAGTTTCATCCAGAAACTGTCTGTAAATAATAGCAGTGAGTAAGCACTAACCTAAATAAAAGAGAAGCAAAACCTATAATTATGATATGACCACATGGCCAAATGACAGGATAAAGATAATTGGGTAATGCAATCAAGCAGTAGCATGCAAGACTGAAGTTCATAGCAGCAAATTGAAAGCATACTGTCACGGCATATTATGCTTTCTAACATGCGACTTGAAAACCTAGTCAGGGTTAAAAATAAAAAAGACCAAAAAGACATGATAACAATGGAAATATTTCAAATAAATTTGAAAGAGATGTACAAATCTAAGCCTGATGAAAGAATTCTCCACATGAGAAGAGAAGCCTAGCCCTACATTCTAGTACAATACTGTTGGCAAGTTACAAGTTAAAGGCCTACTGCACCTCCACAAAAAAATAAGAAATTTTTGTTAGGTTCACTATCTGTCAAACTTGAGGATGTTGCTGTCCTCAGTAACATGGAATCAGTGACCTAATTAATCCCCAGGATATGGAGTCAATGACCTAATGAAGGAGATCAACAAGAATAATATCTGCCACTGTCGATAGAGAAACTTACCTCAACATTAAGGCCCTTCTTCCTGCGACAAAGAGCTTTCAGAGCAACATTGCATTGCAATCCATATTCATTTATGCGCTCTATAATTGCTGACGCAGAATGTGCAAGGAGATCAGGTTCTGCATCTTGAAATTCTTGCAGACTAATCAACGACTACATGAGTTGAAAAATAGTTGATGAAATCATCTCCTAGAACTCTAAAAATTTAACCAAAAAATTTCAAATAATGTGATACTAGAAATATAGGTGTTCAAGTTATTCTTTTGATAGACAAAAAACATAAGTTCATATGAAATAATTTTGGAGCATATATTAGCAGTATATCATTGCTAAGTGTACTTGCCTGGTCACCATATACAGAATGTAACTCCACCGTAATAATCTCCAATTTGTAAAGTGTGGAGCTTATTGTGCTTACATCACGTTTGGAATCAAAACTCAACATTCCCCCATCTACACAAATTAAAAACTCATCCAATTATCCAATCAGTTAAAAGGATGACTTGACAAATTAAAAAAATCATTTGGGAATTTCATACCAATCAAGTCATAAGCTCTTGCGACCTGTTCCTCTTCTTTCTCAGACTCATCTGCACATTTGACAACAATGTTACACATTATATGCTCTTATAGAAGAAGACAACAAATTACAAATCAAGTTTTTTTTTTCTTCTAGAAATTGATTTCATCACAAACTAAGGTGTTATAAATTACCTCTCCAGTCTGAAATATAATTGTCACCATCATCACGGTGGAACAACCTCCTTAAATAAGATTCTTCATCTATAAAAGCAGGTCTTAAACAACCAATAATTTGAAGTCCATTTGATGGCCAGTCCACCACCTTTCCAAACTTTGTCTGGACAACCTATACAATAACAGAAACCATATTGTCATTTTGCTTGACATCATCATAAATCAGGCAAATGAACAACATGCTCTGCTAAAAGCAGCACAAAAAATTATTGTCATGCAAAGCATCAAAATATTCAATCTAGTTTCTGTCGAATTCTGTGGTTCTCCTAACTTTAGAATTAAGGCCCAACCTGTGTTCATCTTACCAAGTAAAATCCACAAACAAATGCAGGTGCACGTGCACACATATAAGGCTATATCTTCACAGGAATATGTGAATTTTCCAATAAGTTCATTCTAATCCATGATTCTGAAACAATCCATGATTCTGAAAACTCACTGAGAGTTTTAGCAAAACACTGCTAAAACTGGTATGTTAGCTCTATGGCAGCTGTACTTTGTGAATATCAGAGAGGTAAACAAGCAACAAACATCTATTTAAGTGACTGAGCTTCTGATGCTTTAGAGACTAAATGCATCTTCAAGCATTTGACTGTCATAAGTTATATCAGCAAGCAAAGTAATAGTCATATTTAAGGCCTGTCTAAGTGAACAAGCAAACAATAAGGTGTTTAGCCTCCAGGCTCAAGATTTAAGTAAATTTCACCAACAAAATTGTTCATGAATCCTACCTTGGTCAAACACTTTGCAAAATACAGAGGATGAATGTAACGCAAAGTATCTGGCATGCCCCAATTTATAAGAGTATCCATTACTTCTGTATCATCAATCTGTATAGCAGCAGATACATGAGACTAGAATAAATTTTAGTTCTCAATGGTTCGCAACAATTATTGTCCAATAGGTTTCATATTGTTTTGACAGCACAAACCTCATTAAGTTCAGATACACCGATATCATTTTCACCATCCATATCAAAGTTATCTGAAATTGTACTGATTTCTTCATACGTAGGACAGTCACTCCCTATCAAAACCATCTGCATAATCATTCAACACAGATAAATTGCTTACCAATTTATTTCAAGAAAGAAACTGAGAAATGGCTGCCATAATCATGTGGGAAAAGTTATTACCACGGGGCTGTCTGCACCATGATCTTGCAAAATATTTTCATCATCGAATAACTCAAAAAACATATCTGGAATATATGAAACATCAGGTGTTAAAGGAAAATTGGGTTACATGACAGCACAAAAAGGATGTTATCCATGAAACCAGACCTCCATAGTCATCAATGACATACTGAAATTCTGCCCATGAGACATGCCGATGTGGTTCATTATGTACTCCTCCAGGAAATATGAGCAAAGCCTTGTTATTAGCCTAGAAAAACAAACAGAGTCATCTTCAATCCTTGGAGGATCATGAATAATTTGCAATTTACATGGTCAGATAAATGCACCTTGAATATTCATGCGAAAAGGAATTTTATAACAATTTTCCCTTTTTCGGCAGCATAATTATTTAGAAAAAGCGAAAATATATTAAAAGAAGAATAAGAATCGGCAACCAACTAGAGAATAACCGAAGAAATCCTCATGCAAAGTTTTTACACTAGCAGATACTCGTAATTGTCGACACTAACCAGCAGGCAAGCCTAACATGTCCATGATAGCCAACAATAATGTTCAACTAAAGACAGCAAAATTTGTGCTTCTGAGATTATAAAAGGGTCACCTCGACAGTTGTCCTAGCTAGTTCAGCATTTGTGAGCACAATGTTCTTGTTCTTTTCACGCTCTTTCAGTTCTTCAAGAGGGTGGTAACCAAGATCTTTATGATACTTAGATGAATCAGGTACTGAGTCCGAGTAGTCAGCAGCAACCCGAACTTTTACAGATAGCTCCTGTGCTGTTTGCAGCCAATATGATTGCTTGGACCCGAAATATGGGCTCCTCCATCTGCTGCTAAAATGAAAAGAGAAGCATGCGATTGAAAATCAATTATAGGTCGGCAAGGGATAGATAACAGACAAAGTGAGAAGAAACGATACTCAGAAGATACTAGAGTCCTCCATACTGGGAACTTGAGCATTACATCATTTTGACACTACTGAGGCTTACAACAACTTAGCAGTACTTTTTACAAACAGTCATCTACTATTGCTCTTAGAGTTAGCAGCAATCATAGTCTGTCATTGCCTCATTGGAAGCCGAACCGACTCTATAGAACTTTACATAAGCAGCCAATTTGGCATCTCCACCTGGTTGGTTGAGTTGTATCCACTACACCTAGGCACCTATTGCTTTTTAAGGTCTTAGCTCCAATAACACCTGACCTGAACGCCCATACAAGGCCTAGGCAAGTATCTAGGTGCCACGACCTTTGTTTAGCTCTCCACTTAATTGCTAATTATTTGTCATTAGAGGGTAAAAGGACAGGGTTAAGTTTGAACCATATCGACTTCTATTACATGTACCTTTTTTTTTATTGAGGGGCCAACGCCAATCACCAAATCATGTTTCTTTACCAAGAGAACAAAAATCTTATTGCAGTAAATTCTAGAATTTTGACCAGTTATAAGTAGACCTTGACAAATTTGTATTATTCTGCATCTCAATAAAATTTTCACATAGTACTATTTCTAGTCATTATAAATTCGCTGGAATCAGCACTATGTTGCTCCATGTTGTTTGATGTTTAGATAATAACAAAAAGAATTGTTATTCATAATGCATAGAGTCCAGGTTATTTATAATTTACCAATTTTTTTTGCAACTATAGGACCTTTCTTTTTTAATGAGTTCATATAAGTTAATAAAAAAATCCATGATTGTTGCCTTCTAAAAATATTGCATGATCTAAGAACACTTTTACATGCCAGTTGGTTGATTTATACATAAAAACATACATAACATTTCTCTAGGTGAATGCCTAGCCACCAAAGTGTTTTACTTCATCCAAGGTTCCTACAGCAGTCACCAAGCAGGACCTGCTAGACTCTTTGCAAGTTATGTTATCAAGAAAGTTATTGCAAAGATGCCTGCATAGAAATCCCTAGATACAGGAAATTCTATAACTGTTCCTCATTCAGTGGGCACAAAGAATGACCTGTAGGCAGACATGAAAAAGAAGCAGCCCAGTGGACAAGTCTCTCACCAATGAAAGCTTTGAGGAGGACTAACACATGTAGTCTTATCCTTTAGCTAGACATTAATGGTGCACAAACAACATGACACAAAAACATATATTTTTGTAAGGCATGCTACTACCAGCATGATAATACAAATTCTGATCAGGAACTTCACATCCAACACCAGCATGTGATTAACATGAAAAATAACCAACTCAAGTAAGCAACAGATAAACAAGTTTCTCATTTGTGCATTCCTTTCACATCATAATTTTGGTGAAAAAGGTAGCATCCTACACAACTGAAAATTTTCCCTTTCTATCTCTTGTTTTCACACGTGGAAAACACAGAAATAGGCAAACAGCAAAGGTGAAATACCTGAAGCTAAAATACTCAGACACTCTCCGACCATCCAACGTGGACTTGATCCAACTAGCTGCAGTCACAGCTGATAGTGAACAAGAAAGTCCTTCTCGATCGCACAATTGACCGTGGGAAGATGCTGGAAGAAACATGATGTAAGACGAAAAAAAAAAAGATGTCATGAAAGTCGGTCTATCAATTAAAGCATTGACCTGCAAACAATAAAAACAATGGACCCTGACATCAAATTCATATCAACGACGTAAGAATTCTATCATCCTTAAACATAAAGCCTCTGTCTGAAAGAGATAAAGGCATCTGAATTAGTTTGCAGTTCTCGTCACGAGAACTAGAAAAGAAAGATCTCTCCTTTCTCAGATATATCGAAGTGTCCCGCATCGGATACACAACCGATCGGCAGTTTCACATGGTCACTAACAAGAACCTCCAAGAATCACTTCATTAAAGAACTCCTCTTTTCATTGGTACAGCAAGATGCAAAATTGACGCAGGACGAAATAACATCTCATCAAGAGGAGACGATCTGCACTGAACAAAGAAGCTGCTACAATCATCTCCTCCCCCTTCTCTTGATGGATCAGGTGGAAAAAAAATCCCAAAGTGGAATCTTTTTCACCCAAAGAGTAAGCTCGAAACAGAAGACCCTCTTTTGAGTCCTTTCTCTGTGGAGCGCTCCACGAGAGCTTGGGGTGGCAGTAGGGCTGGCGCGGGTTTCTCGTTGTCCGCGCATAAGGAGACATGGGAGGGAGGTAGATAAGAGAGGAGAAGTGAGAGAGAGAGAGAGAGAAAGAGAGAGGTGATTACCGGGGTAAACGAGGCCGATCGCCATGAGAGGGGGGAGGAGGGATGAAGGAGTCCGCTTCAGAGGGATTCCCCTCCGCCTGTTGCTGCCGCCATTAAACTAAACATAGGTTTAGTGTCGAAAGAGACACAAGACACATGGAAGCAGCGACACGCTCCTCGCCACCACGGTTTTTATTTTTTTCCTCCGCTTTATTGACTTCCTCTTATATATATATATATACATGTATATATATATATATATACATGTATATATATATACATGTATATATTTATACATGTATATATTTATACATGTATATATATGCATGTATATATATATTTATACATGTATATATATACATGTATATATATATATGTATAACATGTATATATATGTATACATGTATATATAATTTTACTTTAATTAAATAATTTATAATATAAATCTATATATACTTGGCTGTATACATTAAACTTGGGTCACGAGTATTTGATTTAATAAAAACATAATTATGTACTTTAAAGTAAAAATATATAACAATTTAAATAGCATAAATATATTGCTGTTAATAATATTAAAAAAATCATTCATTGGGTTACCGATCAAACTGATGGATTAATTGGCTGGACCACACAGTTATATATTAATTAAAATTATAATATTTATTATTAATAATATATTTTTTGAAAAAATAGATTAATATCTATCATGACATCCATAATAACTAAGAGACAAAGGGTAGCATGTGTTGTCATTGTCTTTAAACTTAGATCACACATCAAAATTATCCATCACAAATATATATATATATATATATATATATATATATATATATATATTCACAAAAATGGTAATTAATTTAGCTGATAATGATATTGATAAGTCTCCAATAGTGTCATGGGATCCAATAAAAAGGAACGGTGAAAGCTACGAGTAAGAGAGGCAATTGAGGCGAGAGCAGGTGTTGAATAAACTGATCGCTGTGTGGCCTCACAGTGAATCCATTTGTGATGGCTTTGGGAATCCGAGTTGGATGTAATTGAGATCTCACTTGGTCCCATAATAATATTATGGTGGCAAGACGGCATACCAGAATATGCACCGAAAGCACGAGGGAATCAAAGCATCTGAGGGGAAGCCTGCAGTTGTGTCGTGTGAGAGCCACATGTAACAGGAGAAAGGTAGAACTCGGACTGGGATATGGAGATAGATACGGACCATGTGGCAGACTATTAAGGAGAGAGAGAGAGAGAGCGAGTTATGTATGCTGTTGGTCCATTCTGGGTTTCTGCTGTTGCCCTGCCTCATCTTGTCTTTAACTCTACAGTGATGATGGTGTCCTGCGGCAGTGCAGCTATTATGACTACTGTCACTGTCCCAAATAATTGTTACTGTCTCATTAATTTAATGAACTTAAATCATTCATCTAATTTTATCTGCTAGTTCACATACAAGGGACATCAAATATGCAGGTTGGATTCTACCTTACAGCCACTGGCTCAGCAGCAGAGCAATCATAATTTTCCTCTGCATTACTAATATGAGTTTGGTTTGAGCAGAGATTATTCTTATAATTTTCATTCATAATTTTTGGTATCAAACCGATATGAAGTCCGGATACTAAGTCAAAAGGATATTCGGATACCGAGCTGAATTTGGTATATTTTTATTAGATTTTTTTAATTAATCTAATTTCTTTAAAAAGGGAATCTATTAGGATATTTTAAATTCTATAAATATAAAATTATCCTTTGTTGAATCTCATATTTTGATGATGAAATTAATTGATGAGTTTACGATCTAATCTGCGTTTTGAGTAACGTAGGACTAACTTCAATGAGAAAAAGAAAATCGATTAAAGCATGAAGAATCGAATGTTGGGGCGGAATGAACATGTCAGAAGATTGGACGTTGGTCAGAGGATCGATCGATGTGCCGATAGAAGGATTTCGTGTCATGAGTTCGGGCATCGAGCTGAAGGATCGAACATTACACCAAGGAGATTGGAAGTTATGGGAGGTCAACATGCCGATTGGACAATACGCCGAAGGAAAGGATGATGCACCGAAGGATTAGATGAAATGCCAGATGAACCAATGACATGCCAAATAATATAGAATTATAATCGGTTATATCTTAATTGATCGTAGTTAAGTTGTAATTGAGTTAGTTTTTGTATAACTATACTAACTTAATTGGGGTCCATTGGGCCTGAGTTGAGACTATTTTGGACCAAGTGGAAGGCCTATTTGGTGACACAAGGTTAGATAGGACCACCTATGAGCTAGAAAAGTCAAAAGCACATTTTTTCAAACTATCAAGCGGTGGTATCACTCAGTGTCAATGTGTTATGCGGTGGTACTGCCTAGTATCAATGCTGCAGGCAATGGTACCACCCAACACAAGCGGTGGTACTGCTAGGACCCGGGAAACCCGGGATGAGATATGTTTTGACTTTGTTTTTTTAAGTCGTCTATAAATATCTCAGTTATTTATGCTTGGAAAAGCATGAAATTGAGTAGAAAATGAGGAAACTATACTTGAGAAAAAAATATTATAATCTCTCTAAATTAGTGAGTCTCTTCCTCCTAGATTTATAATGTTTCTAAGGTAGGAGTGAGGTCTAAAAGAGAGAGGTATAAAGGTTCTCTCCTGCGAGTTATACGAGTAGTTGATTTTCACTCGTTAAAAGAAGATCGATAGTGAAAACCGGTAGTCTCTAGTGAAGAGGAATCAGGAGTGAACGTAGGTCACGACGACTGAACTACTATAAATCTTATTTGCATTTACTTTATGCTTTTCATTTACATTATAAACTCTCACTATAATTATAAACATGTTTTCAAGTTAACATGTTTCCGATATGGGCTTTATCGAATAAAGTTTTCAAATCATAGTAATTTTTATGAAAGTACTAATTCAATCCCCCCCACCTCTTAATATTGATTTCGGTCCTAATAGAGAGATTTTTTTCAACTTTCAAGAGGGTCATTCTATCATTCGTCCTCCTATGTTCAATGGGATGGACTACATAAATTGAAAAACACATATGAGAGTTTCAAAAACCCTCTAGACCAATGAACAAATAGATTGATCTAGAAAAGAAAATATTTTCCTTAAATGCTAGAGCTATGAACGCTCTATTTTACGCATTAGACAAAAATGAATTTAATCGTATTTCTTTATGCGAAACTACACGTAAGATTTAACACACACTAAAAGTAACTCATGAAGACATGAATAAAGTAAAAGAATCTAAGATAAATCTTTTGATGCATGATTTTGAATTATTTTAAATGAAGTCAAGTGAAATCATTGTTGACATGTACACCCATTTTACGGATATTGTCAATGGCTTGAAAGCTCTTGGCAAATATTTTTTTAATTTTAAACTTATAAATAATATTTTAAGATCTCTTTCAAAATGTTGGGATCTAAAAGTGATGGTAATACAAGAGACAAAAGATCTAAATAATTTTTCACTTGAATAACTTATCGGGTCTTTAATAACCTATGAAATGACTTATATTAAACATGAAAACTACCTTCCAAGGAACATAAAGAATTTGACACTTCGAACAATACAAGACCACTCGAGCGAAAGCTCAAGTGATGATAACATAGAACTTTTGATAAAAAAAATTAAAAAGTTTACGAAAAGGATTAATTCTAAAAAAAACTTAAAAATGATACAATAACTTGTTATAAATCAAAGAAGTTGTCAAAAAAGAAGAAAGCATTCAAGGTGACTTGAGATGAATCAAGTACATTCAAAGATGAAGAGCAAACCAACAAAGATGATGTGGCGAACTATGCCTTGTGGCTTTTGACAACAAGGTAAGTGACTCAACCAAAACTCATTTACTTTACTATGAAATTACTTGATATATTTTATAAGTTATTTTTAAATTAATATATAAAATATAAAAAAAGAGTATCATGCTTCTCTTTCTAGTGATTTTAAAAATTAAAAAAAATTGAGCATGACAATTGCATGTTAACTCCTTGCACTAAGTATAAAGAGTTAGATTCACTTAAAAAGAAAAATACATTACTATAACAAATAAAATAATTTTGATTGAAAATACTTTATGTTTAATGAAATCTTACTTGATGATTTAATGATGCATGATGATTTGAAGTAATGATGATTTTTATGATTTATGATTTATTTATCTTGATGACTCTTGTGATAAATCTTGTTTTTCGGTTTTAAACAATGATGCATTATTTTGGTTTAGCATAAAAGACAAAGGCATGTTTATATGAAATAAATCACATAAATTAAAACACATAAAAAAGAATAATACATTTTTCTTGAAAATTTCTCTATTTTTATCTTATTGATTTTTCAATAAGAGATTGATAAGTCTATTTATGTCATTTTGAATCTCTTGAAAGGGATTTTGATAATTTGATGATTTGAATTTGAATAAATTTTATCGAAATTATGATCTTGAATTTTTATAATTATAACTTGAGATTCTCTTTATATGAATCAAAATCCCTTACTCTTTATTCTCGTATGATTCTTGCATTTTATTAAAGAGAATATTTATCCAAATGAATCTTGATTTTTCTCTTGATTTTTTGGAATTCATGACTTCAATTTTTTTTTGAATATCTTTTACTATTTGATCTCCTAAGATTTCTTTTTGATTATTTAAGAGGAGATTTGTCAAAATGAATCATGTCTTTTGGTATTCACATGATCTTTGATATTATCTTTTATGACATGATTTTTATTATGTATAATTTCTTTATATTTATGGTTATAAACCTTATGTTATGAGTAGAGCATTGATGTAAAAAAACAATTATACCATTGTATTCTTTCACTCTTCTTTTTTCTTATTTACAATGATAAAGAGGAGAAAGAAAATTGCTAGCATATCAAGAGAACCAAAATTACTAGCTTGGATGTCAAACTTAGGCATGTTAAATCTCCAAAATATATAAATTCTTCTCATACATTTTTCAGATCATGATCTTGATTTCTCGATTTTGATAACTTGAGATTTGTTATGGAGAAATAAAGAGGTATCAGACTTGGAGTTGATGAAGCCAATTGATATCATAAACGATCCAAGTTTAGTATACCAAGCTCGTGGAGCTTGACGGAGTCCATAAATGGCTTTTTGTAATTTGCAGACATGTCTCAGATACTG